GGACTTCGAGTAGGAAGAGGAAAACAGCAAGAGGAGTTGGAAGAAGGAGAAAAATGATTTATATAAAAGCTAAAGGCATAGAGTAAGAAGTTAAGGTAATTATTAAGTAAGGATAATTATAAGATGTTCTTTGTACACTTTGTTTAATGAGTTGTATTGAAATGTGTAAAGCTAAAAATAAAAGTGATTGTATTGCAACATTAATTTTGATGAAAAATATGTAATGTGGCTTTGTAGTTAAAATTAAATATTTAAGTAAAGAAAGAAGGTGAGAAAGAAGACAAATGGAGAAAAATCAACATTGAGTCATGGTAACAGTTGGTGGTTACAGGCACTGCCTGGGTGTGGACCAAGAGATAACAACAGCTCCAAGTGACTGCTGTCTGAAGGCCAGAGACAGTGACAGTTGGTAAAAAGAAGAAGTCTGACTGGAGAAGAGGAGGCAGCCTAACTCACAGAAATCCTTCAAAAACCACAGCAAAAAGACAAAGAAGAAGACTTTTGGCAGTTTGTAGCAGTGAGGAAAACACAAGAGGCAGAAATGGAGGTAGCACAGATAAGGATGTTGAGGTTCTCTTTAAGAGTGACTAGGATGGACAGGATTAGGAATGAGCCCATCAGAGGGACAGCTCAGGTCAGCTGTTTTGGGGACAAGGTCAGAGAGGCCAGATTGAGATGGTTTGGACATGTGCAGAGGAGGGATAGTGGTTATATTGGTAGAAGGATGTTGGAGATGGAGCTGCCAGGCAAGAGGTCACGAGGAAGGCCAAAGAGGAGATATATGGATGTGCTAAAAGAGGACATGGAGTTAACAGGGGTGAGAGTAGAGGATGCTGAGGACAGAGTTAGGTGGAAACAGATGATTCGCTGTGGCGACCCCTAATGGGAACAGCCGAAAAAAAGAAGAAGATTTTTTTTTTTAAGGCTCTTAATGGTTTGGCACCACCTTACCTCGCTAAGTTGGTGAGGTGGCACGAACCAACTAAAATTACTCAGATCCTCAAGCCAGTTTTTGTTAGAGGTGCCCAGGGCGAGATACAAACACTGGGGTGACCATGCTTTTATTGTTGCAGCTCCTAAATTGTGGAATGTTTACCTTTTAATGTTAGATCATTTACAGACTTGACAACTTTAAAATCATTGGTTAAAACATATTTATTCACTTTGGCTTTTAATACATAGTGCTGTCTGATGCTTCCTCCTTCTATCTGTTGATTCTGTGTACTTGGTGTTTTTAATGTTCCTATGTTGTTTTATTTCTCTATTGATATTTTTTATTCTGGATTTACATTGCTGTGTAAAGTACTTTGGTTGACCAGACGTTGTTTTTAAAGTGCTATACAAATAAATTTTGATTGATTGACTGTGGGTAAGATTAGCTATGCTGTTTTGCACAAGCAATAGGTCTGTATTATTTAGTCCTGTTTGCTTATGTTTGTGATAGCTAATCCCAACTGGTTAGCTACAGGCAAGTAGCTTCTGTCCCTGGGTGTGTCTGGTTAAATTACTTGCCTATGGACATTCAGTTTACTTTCTAGTTTGCCATGGTATACTGGTGTTGTGATGTTAGTTGTTAACTGCCATGACCGGTGTGTGACTGTCTTTAAAATGCTTATTTTGACCACCCAACATTCAAAAATAGGGCTGCAATTATTTTCATTATCAATTAAACTATTGTTTACTTGATTCCTTGGCGGTCTAATCAAAGGTCTTGTTTTGTCCAACCAGTTCAAAACCCCTGTTTTTTTTTTTTTTCTAAAAACATTTTTAAAAAGCAACTAATTCTCACACCAAAGAAGCTGGATCTAAACAATGTGACATTTATTCTTACAAAAGTAATGTATTGATTAATCTGTTTTCAAAATAGTTTGTTATCCAGTGGGCAATGGATAAATCTTTGCAGTATCATTACAAAACCCAAAGATAAGTTTACTATGATTTATAACAAAGAAAAGCAGTAAGCCACCACAGCTGCAAAGCTGTAACGTTTCGCTTTTCTGCTTTAAAAATGCACTAAACGATTACGCGATTATCATTTCTGTCTTTCAGCTGGTATTCTTTCAACCACATTAGGGTCACTGGAAGGCCACACTACTCTGGATTTAGTGTAGTATTAGGACTAACGCTAGCGTCGGTGATGACCTACAATTGACAAAATAACTCCTCTGTGTCAAGGGTTATGACCTATATAGGAACCAAGATTTCTCAAGAAAGCACCCGACTAACTTTATAACACTAAAAACAGCTGCAGGAGATACGTAACTTACCTAGCTACCTGTCACAACATTTCAATTAAACGTTAAGTAATTTTCATTCATAGCTGATTTTTCCATGGTACTTGATAATTACTGAATTCCGTTACAACAATGGCTAACGTTAGCTCTACTTGGGTTATTTGCCACAATACAGCTGTTTTTTTTTTTAACAATATGAGGCTCTGGATACGACGTTTAGCAGTTAAACTAACGTTAGCAAGCAAGCTAGAAGCAGATGCTACTGCTTGCTGCTGTTTTTGGGGCCCCGAGCAGACGCTAGCTTGTGCGACCGATTAACCTCACGCGTTCCGACACACACACACAGACAGTTACTGACCCTGGTACGAAGCGTGACAGCCCATGCGAAGAAGCAGATCAGATGTCTCCTTACCGTTGTCGTTAGACTTGCAGCCTCGCTCCTTTCGCTGGCCGCTCTGTCTTTAGCTGTTTTTCCTGGTATTCTACACCATATGTAGACGGTCGTTTACCGTACCCGAACAGAAGCATTCCAAACTGGCCACGTGACTCCAATCTGACCAAGGAGCACAAAGAATGTTGTTTGATCCCGCCCCTTTTGCTATCAATCAACAGCCTCCCTTCCTCCGCTTGTTCACCCCTCCCCTTGTTCGATGGGCCTGTCAAGTGGAGTCCGCTGTCCTCGTCTCCATGACAACAGAAGAGCTTTAACCCTTGCACTGCGCTATGTTTAAAGTTAATGGTTTTAAAACGCAGCTCAGGGACCCCACAAAGAAAATGGATTTATAAAGTTACAGGAGGTCAAAAACAAATTTTAACATCAGTGGAATATAATTAAGTACATTTATACAATACACATCTAATATACAATAAAATTAAAATTATTTTGGTATTTCTTTCTGTAATAAAAACTTTCAGCCACATTTTACTGTCTTTAAAATGCCATCATGTAGACAACTCTTTTTTAAAATTCTAATTTTGCTAGATTTTGTTTTAAATATATTGCATTTTGTATGTATGCATTGATTTATTTTGGTTTTTTATGTATTTTCCACTTTTGCAAACAAAGTCATTGCTGGATTGTTTTCCATCTCAAAACATAATGATTTTCCATATCTGACTCAAATTCTTATAATCTATGCACTGATCCTCAGATTTCTTTCTCATCACATAGAAGAGATGTCCCGCTTGTTTTATTGTCTAGTTTTGTTGAAAATCATTTTCGAAAGCTGTTTTGTGTGTGTGTGTGTGTGTCTTGCACTAGTCAGTGTTTTAAAGACTGTGCAATGTAACATTGTTCAAGCCTTGAATCTGTAACATGTATCCAAATGGAAATGACCATGCATGGTAATAAAATAGACGGCAATGAATTGCTAATGTTTCAGTGAGTTGCTATTGTGTTGCCTACAATATAAGGAGGGAGTACATTCATCCGCCTGCAAATACTGAATAATTTATCAGAATATGACTTATTTGGTTGGCCCCTGAGTTAATTATCTAGCCTTTCATAGCTCCCTTGACAGCTCGCTTGCAGCATCAGCATGAACACGGTATCATTCCAGTAACTTCATTAATCCCCAGAGACATGTTATGGGCTCATAGCTAGTATGTGATATTAATGTTACAGCAGAAGAAACAATGAACTCAAACACAGCTCTGCTGGACCACAACATTCCTCCAGCATGATGCTTGCATGGACCAGATGTAATGGTGTGTAGATAATACACAAGAATCTTAATGGAACATTTATGCGGGCTCTCGTTCAGCTTGGTTGATCCTCCGTGTCCCTGTTTCCACAGAGCTGCTCATTGCTTTTAAACAAGATAAAGTGTAAACCTGAAAGAAATTCACTGTGACTGTGAGCCAAATGTTCTGTGGTTAGCCCTCTAACTATTTATCATTTTAAACCAAAATCACAAAAGAAGAAATATGGTTAATCAAATTAATTTGGTTCTGCTTTTGCATACATTTCTAAATGCCTCTTCATTTCTGAATGTTTTTTACTAAATGAAGCCTCTCAGCCTCTCTGGTCATGTGGTAATTGCCAACTAACTCCCAGGGTCAAAACAAAACATGGAGAGGCAGCATTAGTTCCAATATTGTATTTGAAACATGTGCAACAAACTTACATAAGATTTGGCTCAATTCCAGCAAGTTTAAAAACACTCAGACAATTGTCCAGTCAGTACATTTGAGTCTTTTATTTAAGTCTTTTTTAAATTAAGGATCCGGGTGGATATTTAAATAATCACGTCTGTGGTTATACACAATAGCACAGGCCTCCGCTGGTGAAAAGGACCAGTACTGTAGTGCAGTTTAGAAATGTCCAACTGGAGTTAGGCAACAGTCATAAAATCTGGTTTAGAATTTAGACTAACATGTTATCATGACTTCATTTAGGACTAAAGGCAGGTATAGAGTCAAAAGGGTCCACAGAGGTTCAGCCTTTATAAAAGTAACATTGTCTAGCTGTCAGGTTACCTCTTCATCTAAGAGTTAACTGGACTACTGGCACGAGCCCCTTAGTGTATGACTTAAAGCAATGTTTTATCTTTTGGTCACACATACTGCACTTCAAATTCAGTGTAATAATTCATTACTGAAGTCTCTGACCCCATTGTTCCAGCCCTGAGGGGGCATGGTTCACTTTAACTGTGAGTCACACAACACAAGCAGACATCATAGCACTGATTAAGCCTTTTTAACGGTGAATATTTTGCTGTTTATCATTTTATTCATTCAGGAAATGCTCTCATTAACATTCTCCTGTTTTGAAATTACCCCAGGACCTGAAGTGGACGTCCAACATCAGGACCATCACCAAGAAGGCACAGCAGAGGATCTACTTCCTGCTCCAGCTCAGGAAGTTGGACCTGCCCCAGGAGCTGTTGATACAGTTCTACAGAGGAATCATCGAGTCTGTTCTCTGCACCTCCATCACTGTCTGGTTTGGCTCAGCAACCAAACAGGACAGGAACAGACTTCAGCGGACAGTCAGGACTGCAGAAAAGGTCATTGGTGCAAGCCTGCCCTCTATGGAGGACCTGTACACCTCACGGGTCAAAAGGAGGGCGGAGAGGATCACTACAGACCCCTCACACCCGGGACACAATCTGTTTGAACTCCTCCCCTCTGGACGGCGTTACAGGCCACTGTGCGCCAAGACAACCAGGCGCAGGGACAGTTTCTTCCCCAGTTTCCCAGTTTCTTCACTCTGATGAACAGTTGACCCACGACAGTATGACTGGACAATAGCCCTCAGTGCAATATCTGTAAATATACATTGTATAGATTATACAGATTCGTACACATCTCAATTTTTAAGTACTCTATTTTTATTCCTATTTACCTCATTTCAATGAGCATTCCTCTGTCTGTCTGCATTGCTTACTGCCTGTTAATACTGCTTATTTTGTTATATTACACAGCCTTATGGTGGTTTACTGTTTACTTGCCCCTTGCATGAGGATATGTACATACGCATTGAGAGCCGATGTACCAGACACCTGGCCAATTAAGCAGATTCTGATTCTGATTCTGATTCTCCTGATGCTTACCCTTATTTACCTTGACAGTACACCCAAGAATTAATTTGCAGGTGATAAAAACATCTTTCTAAAGGGTACAAAATTGAACTTTGAGAGAAGAAGTCTACACTGCAGAAAGCATTAAGTTTATACTCAATTGTTGCAGTTTAGTGCTAAATTATGTCTCAATTTAAAGGATATTATTCTAGGTATTGTTATGCTATTGCATTTGTCATCCAAAAGGGGGCGCCATCATAAAACCTGTCTGAAAAGGACTTTCTCATTTCACACACACATTCACTCATTCAGGCACATAATTATTTAGACAAATAAGCCGTTGGAGAATATATGTTTGTGTGAGCATGATACACACAGTTTCAAGACTGAGATTTACAGAATTAAAATTTCAAGCATGCATTTGAAAAATAAGTGGTGTTATCAAGTGGTGTTAGTTCTACATTAAGCCTAGTCTGAAGTCAAAAATGGCTTGTGAGAATTGTTCGTCAGTTGTCATTATTCAGGCTAGTGAAAGGTATTTAAAATAGAATCCTGGAACAGGGTTAATTGTTCCCCTGAAACAATGAAAATTCCTGAAGTCAAAGGCTGCATGCAGTTGCTTCCTTTGTGGTCAATGGTGCTGTTTGCTTTTATTATTTTCTTCAAAGAAAGTTTAAACCACCACCTTGCCTTTTTGAACTGCTTTTTTTCTGCTTGGGAATGACGATCGAGTGGCTTCCAGGATCAAAGTTTGCTTATTAGTTCAGGAATTTCTCAATTTTCTCCTCATTGTTGTGTAGCAATCCGATTTGTCTCCATGTTTGTACAGCAGGGATTGTGAGGAAGGATATTTAGTCTGATTCAGTCCAAACAGACATCCCCTCCCTGCTGCATAAGACAGACCTTACAAAAAAGCCTTGGGAATTACAGACATCCTGTACTCTGACCTCTCCCTCAGACACTTAATCACGGTGCACATGCACCACTGTTACTAATATTTACACTTATTGACAAGTACTGCTAAGCAATCAAAGGAAATGCCAAGCCTCTATGGAGCAAGCAAACAGAGGGTGACTATCCCTGCTTTCCCTGAATGAGAGTTTAACTAAGAAGTGACCATTTAACTTTTTCCAGTTGAAGTTCTTGATGTGTTGAAATGAATTTGTCATGGTATCAAATGTTTACGCCTTCCTTTGCACCATCTCCTGTTTTGTTCATGCACACCTTTAGTCAAGCAGTTGCTTGATGGTCTCATTGTATTTAAAAACGACCATGTGGCTCTTTAAAGAACCATTAGTGGAAATCCTTAGTGCTGGTAGCTGAATTAGAGCAGTTTAAAGTTTCTCCGCCTTCTTGGCAGAATCTGAATGGGTGAATACACTGAACACGGTCATTACTTCAATTCCCTCACACCCGATCAAAATAAGATTTTTGCCATCATCATTACAAAACGCTGGGTAGCGTGCAGTGATGTGTGTGGAAGAACAACGGCCCAGTGTTTTTAAGGTTGTTTCACTGTCATTGCCTGTGCTTTGCTTTTGGCTTTGTCCCATCATTTTTCTTTCAGCTATCAGCAATTTACACTTGCGATGAAGACCATATCTGTTCCCACAGACACAATGACTAATACTGACAAAGAGCTACATTAACAGAAATAAGTTTAAAAAACTGAATGTGATCAGTGGTGAGCTCTTTACGTCTATTGATCATTAGTGTTGTCTACAACAATAGTAACATCCCAAGTTGTAATAGCAGTGATTTCTTCCTGCTGCTTTCCCATCCCACAGCACATTGGGTTGCCACTTGGTATGAAATGGGCTGTACAAATCATTTTGCCTGCCTAGGTTTTGACAATGACAACAAATCCTGTAATGCAAAATGGAATGCAACCTTTCATTGCTCCTCTTCTTTTGGATGGGTAATTAAATGTTAACATATAATCCTTAAGCCATTATCTTGACAAGGTCTCAATAATGAACTCACTGGCCCCGCAGAACCAGCTCGGGCTATGTCATGTAAGGCTTGCTATTTATTGTCTATATTAGATCAAACAAGAATCATTTCAAGCAGTAATATTAAATGAATATTGAAGTAAAA